ACCTGGGACAGGTGCCATGCCGCCCATGTATTGATTAGGGCTTGTGCAAGCACACGTCCTGTGTGCAAGAGGTGTGTCTGCCCGGCCCCTTGCGTGTTGGCAGAGGTAGTGAAGCAGACCCCAGAGGGGGCATGCTGTGAACATTGAAGATGCCTCACGTGGGTGCCAGGTGTTTCTAGATGTTTGGGAGTGTGCCCACCCACTTGCTCTGTGGGTCTTAGCAGTGGGATAGACTCAGGAGACGGTGAGCAAGTGCTCCTCTTCCTTCACTTCCGACCAAAGAGGCCAGAGTTCAAAGGGGAGCAAAGCTCTTCAGAAAGGTGGACCCCAGAAGTAGGTGGGAAGTTCTTTAGGACCACGATCAGAGACTTCCTGGGGGTTTTCCAACTCCTTGTCTCCTGCTCTGGGGGAAGTGGGAGGAGGTGGGACTGCTGGGACCCACCGGGGAAGCAGCCTAGCCCCCAGGGGCTTGGAGGATGTAACAGAGAGACTGAGGGGATGAGGTTGAGGAGGGAGGGCCGAGCCCTCATGCTTCTCTCTGGACTGAGCTCCTGGGTGATGCTTCTCAGAAGCCCTCCACCTCACCACCTCCACCCCATCATGTGGGTGGGCAGGGAGTAGGGATCGGACTAAACCCAAGGTGGGGTGTCTCCTGAGGGTGGGGTCTCCATCTATCCTGGGCTGCATTTCCCGATTCCTCTCTCTTCACCTGCCTGCCACCCCTCCCCAGCTCAGCTCCTCTGTCTCCCCTCAGGGACGTCTGGTCCTCCCTAGAAGGTTTCTCAGCCTGGTCCCCTTCAGTGGCACTTCCAAAGTTTGGGACTTTACTGTGGTGTGTCTCTGACTGGACCTCTATTAGAGGGATCTCTTTGCTGGGTCCTCCTGGAGGGCTTTTCAGTTTGAGGTCGTCTTGATGGGGTCTTTCACATGGGCATTGCTGTGGGGTCTGTAAGGGAAGGTCCCACTTCCCTTGATGGAATGTCTCATCTTGGGCCCCTCTCTAGGGGCCTTTAGTCCAGGATACTCTTTGCAAAAACTTGATCTTTTTCTGAGTCCTGTTTCCTACCCTCAGTAATCCTATATCCTGCTGCGTCTTGATAAATAGCACTTCTGTGAGTTCCGTGTCCTTAGCCCCTTCTTCAATTGATTTATTGGAACAGTTTGGATGAGGGTAGGAGGAGGAATAGGAGCATACAAACTAGAGTACAGGCTTCCTCTGAGTCCCCCACTCAAGGGCTCCGCTAACAGTGAGGCCCCCAAATCAGCCCCATCTTTTTGCTCTGATACCCAGAGTGGTAGCCATGATTCAGGTCTGCCCAGAGCCCCAGCACTTTGTACTTTATACAGCATCTCTCAGCTCACACGGGAGTGTGAAGATATGAGCAGACACGGGGGCTCCCCAGCCAAGTAGGGGCACCCTACACCCAGGCTAACACCAGGCGGAAGGGTACACAAGAGTCAGGGGGGGAGAGAAGGGACCCAGGGGAGCAGCAGGAAGGTAGCCAGAGGGGGGACAGCTGCTTTGCTCCCCCTCTCTCTTTGCTCCTCTCCTCAGTCTGAGCGGCTCCCCACTCAGGGTTAGGAAAGAGGAGTTGAGTCTCACAGTTGATGCTAGTCAGAGCTCAGGAATGCCATTTGGTTTGGTCTGGTTTGGAAGGCCTGATTGTGAGAGGGAGAAGAGGACACAGGAGAGCCTCCTCAGGGGGAGAGCTGGGGTGTTGGCTAGCTCTGAAGTGCGAATGGTGGGTCCCTTGAAGCCCCTTAGTAGAAGTGCCCCATATATGAGGGAGGACCCAAAAGTCCCTTCCAAGATGTGAACATGGACACTACGAGAGAAAGGGGTGGGGCCTCTGCTTTCCCAGAGTAACCTGGACCCCAGAGGTCCAGGACATGTGGACATTCAGCCTGCAGCCTGAGGGCTGTGCCTGGTCATGCCCAGGCCGAAAGCCCAAGGAGGGCAAGGCCAGCGTCAGGGCACGATGGTGGCAGGTGAGGAAGATGGTCTGCATCTGGTGTCTGAGCTCTTACCCAGAGCAGCTGAGCCTCCCCAGGGAAGGGAGTGATGGCAAGGAGCCTACTCAGTTGCTGGCTGAGATAAGAACCCAGAGAAGCCCGGCCCCACCCCACTCCTCTCTCATTCACCCCTGGAAAGTGCTGTCCGACAGGTGAAGGGTTACAGCGTCTCGGCAAGTTTCGGTGTTGGCCCATTTTTAGGCTGAGACCCAAGAGCTCGTCCCACCCATCAGTCTCAGCCTCCTACCCAGCGGGAACAGGTTCTCACTATCAGAGCATCCTGTGGGACTTGAGAAGAAGTTTTACAGGTCATCTCACCCTGCCCCTCCAGGTCTGCTCAAACCCCTGCCTAATCCTAAAGTGCCACCATGATGCTCTCCTAATGGGTACATCAAATGAGTAGGTGTCACGGCACAGTGGGGGACCTATGACTCATTCAAAATTTACTTTTAGAGATGACTGAGACTAAATTTTAAGCTAATTTAAAAGACAAATGAGATGGCTTCTGGAGGTATTTTAAAGGTGACATGGGGAATGGGTGTTGGAGGAGAGTTTGGGTTGCAGGCATAAGGTCACCTTTTAGCTAAAGACTTGCCTTTTTAAATGTCAGCAGTTTAAAATAAGTTGATTCAGAGACTGATCATCATATCAGCCTCACCACCTCTTACAAACTTTTCCTGTCCCCATGAACACTTTTCCTATGAAATCAGAATTTGGAGAATGTTAATGGCTTCCCAGGTAAAGGACAAATTGCAGTGGTGCTGACACAGAAAACTGAAACTATTCCTTATAATGGAGGAAGGGGTGAAAGGAGGGCCATGGGAAGGGGGCAGGAAGGGACGGGGACCAGCATCTAAGCCCAAGTGTTTAATTAGTTCATTTATTAGCTGCTTGCTTTATACCTGGAACTATGTCAGGCAATTTTTGTTTAGTATTTAACCTAGTCCTCACAACAACCCTGGTAAGTATGTACCTTTATGCCCATTTTTTAGTAAGAAAATTCAAATTCATATTCAAATATGTAGCTGGGAATCCCCAGCTGGTAAGTGATGGCACTGAGATTAAATCCAGGTTTGTCTGATGCCAAAACCCATTCTCTGAATTCCACTGCTAGTGAAGCAGGTTAAAGCCACCAGAGGGGGAGAACTTCCTTGGACCTTCCCTGCAGTCTGGCAGCCTCTGACTGAGGGCTTTTTCTCAAGACTGTTGAAGAACCCCTGTGGCCAAGTATGAGTGGATCAGATCTGTGTTAGACAGTGCCCAGCTTCCGATGAAGTGGGTGGAACGAAGGGGAGCCTATTGGAACAGAAGGCCAGCAGGGGCACAGACCTTTGCAAATGTGTCCAGCTGGCCCACACTAGTTACTCAACCTATTCATTCATCTTAGACTATCCAGAAAGTTTGAAACTGCAGCAGGAAGGACTGAGGTTAGGCTCAAGAGAGGCCTTCCTAAATGTAGTGAGTGGGAGGCGTGGCAGGGTATGGTTGCAGGGTCTCCCCTAGAGCTCAGTGACCACACAGTGCAGCAGAGATTGTCTGGGGAGGGCCCCGAGGATCTCCAAGTATTTACAGAGGTGTCTTCTTTCAATTTGGCCCATCTCAAACAATTTCTTAAACCACAGTGATTCCTAAGGTTGTCTGTCTTACATGCTTCTCTACCTCTAAGTCTTTCGACCACCGCCCCCCAGCCCCGTTGTGCTTGGCACTGCAGCCACTATACCCCAGAGAAGTAAATCTCTGCCAGAGCCACATACATCATTGCCCTTAAAAACAAACAACCAACAACAACAACAACAACAAAACCCAAACCAAAAACATTTTCTTGCCCCCTTTCCTGGAGCAGAGGACGCCCACCCGGGTCCCTTATCCTGATCATCGCTAGATCTCTGGTGTCTAGACTGCCAACTGCCTGATTACCTGATGCAAATTAAGACTGCCTGCTTGACTGGGATTGGCTGGGGGGCCGAGAATGCAAATTGCCTCACCAAGACTTTATCTGGTTAGAAAGAGTTAAAGTGCTGCCCCAGAGAAGGGGAGGGGGTGGAAAGGGGTCAACACAATTTGAATAAAATATTCTTCTGTCTTTAACACTTCAGTCTTTGGGTGATTTAATAAGGAGAGAAGCTGAGAGAGAGTGAGTGAGTTCAAAGTTGCCTCTTTGCTTCCTTCTGCTGACCCCAGAGGAGACTTAGGGCCTTATAGGTGGTAGCAGCTGTCTGTTAAGGGTAAATGTTTAATTTATTAAAATGAAGCAGGGCAGAGAGGCCAGACCAGCAGCACTTGGGGGTTGAGAGTTGGGCCTGGAGTAGGTAATCTCTTTCTGCAGGCCACTGGCCCACTGCCATCCCTTTCTCACTGAGCAAGTTGAAGGAGTGGAGAAGAAGGTAAGGGTCCCCAAAAGATAGGATCTCCAAGGAGGAACATGGGAGTCAGGGTTTGACCCGCAGCCAGTGAGCTGACCTCTGAGAATCGGAGGCAGGAACTGGGGAAAAAAAGGAAAAAGGCCAAGTTTAGGGGTACTCTTGCCTTCCAGGCTGGGGTTATTCTGAGACACAGAGCTGGGGAGGAAAGGGAGAGAGAATTCTAAGGCTGGCTTAAAAAAAAGAAATAAATAAATTCCCAAACCTGAAAGGAAATGAGGACTGGGAATGGGAAGAGTACCCACCCCTCCCCTTGCTAAATTTTTACCAGCTAATTCCTGGTGATAGAAGGAAGTGGCGATGAATGATGCAAAAGATGAGAGACCCTGCAGTGGCACTGGAGGAAGGGGGAAAGAAAGGCGGGGGGGGGGGCGGCAGGCACAGGAGGAGGGATGGTGCTCCCCTGCTTATGAATATTCTAGTGGTTGTATGTTCGGGAATCAGGAATTTGAAAGTCTGATGGTTGTTGTAATTACACATTCATCTTTGCTGTTTAGTTAAAGCCTCATATGTCACAGCAAGAAAAATTGTGACCTGTTATTAAAATCAGTTGTGTTTTCCCTGCAGATATCAAGATGAGTGGGGATGTAGCGGATTCCACAGATGCTCGCAGCACTCTCAACCCGGTGGAACCAGGTAAGGAAGGGTCTTCTTTTCTGGAAAATGGAACAGGAAAGCAGGGGATAAGAGAGAGTCGTTGGAAATTGTTGAACAACCTGGTGTCTCTTCTCGCTCGGTCTTTCACCCAGTCAGACCCCCCAAACTGGGTATTAGAAACTCGAGGAATTCCCTGGAGACAGGGGACAGACGTGACCCCGGAATCTTTGAATAGTAGATATTGGTCTACAGCAAAACGAAACCTCTGGAACTAAGGAAGAGGCCAGATCCTTAAAAACAAAACCAAAACCAAAAAAGAGGTTCAAGATCAGTCATATTCCCAGCTTCCCGGGATGGGACAGAGACAGAGCCTGTCTTTAGTAGATGAGGGGGGGCCAGAGCCTTTGAGCCCCAGGTATTACAATTGTCCCACTCAAGGAACTAACCAACCAAAGAGGACTGTGTGCAAAGGTTCCGCTTCCAAATAATGCGCATGTGGGTGCTATGTAGGCTCAGAGGAGAAGGCTTGGTGCCTGGAGAGAAAGAGGCCAGAAATAATAGAGAAGAAAGTTTCATAGCTCTTTGTTTTTAACCTCCATAGTTCAAGCCTTGCTTTGAAAGCTCCATATAATTAAAAAGAACTTAAAGGAAGATGAGTATAAATTGTAACACCACCAAATAACTTTAATAGCATCCCAACTAGTCCTCAATTAGTCTTTCATCTGGATCATTAGAGACATAGAAATTAGAAGTGGAAAAGAATCGATGTCCCCCAGAGCTAAGATCTTTTTTCAAGTTTTGTAGTGCAGTCTAGTTCTATTCTTTTTTTTTTGGTTAAGGGACTGGGGGTTTTGTTTGTTTGTTTTGAGACACAGTCTTGCTCTGTCCCCCAGGCTGGAGTGCACTACTGAGATTATAGCTCACTATAATATGGAACTCCCTGGGCTCAAGTAATCCTCCTGCCTCAGCCTCCCAAAGTGCTGGGATTATAGGCGAGAGCCACCAGCTAGTTCCATTCTTGAAGCTAAAACCTTCAGGATCAGGAACAAGATAATTGGGAGTCTCGGGAGGGAAGATGTCTGCAGAAAGCATTTACCACAAACTTTTCTGCTTCCCAGTTTAATATTGAAATGGCATCTAGGCTCACAGGTAGCAATATACGTGCATAGAGCTACAGTCTTAATATTTTGCTTTGTGTACAGAGACAGCCAGACTGTGAGGGGTGTGGGCCAGTTACACAGTGTTTCAGTTGATTCATTAGTTGAGTATGTTTATTAAGGGTCTGGGAAGGGGGGTACCTGTCCTTCCCAGCTGAGAAGAAAATTCCTTTTAATTTTGAAAACCCGAGCAAGACTTTACCATCAGTTCAGCCACAGAGAGATGGGCACAGTCCCTGCGCTGACATTATTCCCCAGAGAAAAATCGGAATCCAGGAGCGATGATACAAAGTGGGGTTGCTCTTTCCTAGAAGCACACTGGCTAGCGCAAACTCTGTTCACCTGGAATCTACTGCCCCAGGTGTGTGGGACACAGCTAAGAGAGTGTCCACAAGGGAAGAAGTCCATGCTTAACCAGTTTGCCCTGGGGCTCTCTTGTTAGTTACCATGACCATGTCAGGGTAATAGGGTTGGGAGTGAGAGTAACCCAGGAAACAAAGGGAGTTCAGAACTTGATGAGGCTTGGAAGGTTAGTATGTTGTAGACAGTCTGAGCAAATTCTGGTCTCCCATCTGGGGACTCTGTAAGCTATGTACAGAGTAGGTTAAGGGGAAAAGGATGCAGACATAAGTTAGGACCCTTAGAATCTGTCTTACCCAGGATTACTACCAATTCAATACGTGACCTTACACCAAACACTTTGCTTCCTAGAAGGCAGGAACAGATGACCTTTGAAAAGTATAGATTTAGAATCAAACAGACCTGAGAAGTTGGACATGGTGTATTCCTAGCACTCTGGGAAGCTAAGGCTGATAGATTATATGAAATCAGGAGTTTAAGACCAGCCTGAGCAAGAGTAAGACTCCATCTCTACTAAAATAGAAAAATTAGCCAGGTGTGATGGTAGGAGCCTGGAGTGCCGAGTGAGGCAAGAGGATGACTTGAGCCTCAGAGTTTGAGGTTATTGTGAGCTATGATGCCACGATACTCTACCCAACGTGACAGAGTAAGACTTTGTTTCAAAAAATAAATAAACAAGCAAAGAAACAAAAACTGATCTGGGTTAAAATTCATAGCTCTATCCACCTGAAATTTTATCCTTATCCCTTTTGTAAAGGGAAAAAATTAGGGCCCAACTTAGAGAGTGGGTTAAGAGTTACTTGAGCTGATGTCAAAAGCCTTTATAACACAGTGCTTGGCACATGGTAACTGTGATCATCATCGTCCCTGATGGCATCATTCGAATTCTGTGATTCTATAATGTATAGAACGGCCATCACTTTGAGCACTGCGGGACCACAGGTAGCTGGGGAAGGTTCCCCTTCACTCAGGCCAAGTGTGTCAGCCCTGGAGGCTGATTTCGCCCCCTTTGCCATTCAAGAAAAGATCCGCTGTTTGTGGAAACGGTGCTACCTGGGACTTCATGCTGTCTGGCTCTTCATCGCCACTAGATCTTTCTCTTTGGGGCTCCGTGGCTGGTAGCATCAATACTTCGGTGAGCCTCAAATGACTGCGTTTTTAAGGGCAAGAAAAAAGAAGTAGCTAATTAAAGTAACCAAACTTCCTGGAAAGTCGTTGTGACTCATTTTTTTTTACAGAGGAAAGCTCAATATGAGTCACAATGGTTACCAACTTCGGTAACTGGCTTCCTTTGGATTGTTAAAGACAGATTTGTCTTCCCAGCAGCACCTACATTAAGGGATGGTTTGTCTCTGGGTTTTAAAAGAACTGTGAACAAAGGTGACTTAGAAAGCCCCGGGTCCCTGAGAGCACCCTCTGTGCTGTGTGAAATCCCCACGGGCCACAAGGGGTGGGTCCTGGGGAAGGGAAGTGAATTTCCCCATCCACACTAGCTAAGAAGGCAAAGGAGGTCATTCTCGCCCAGACCGACTTCCTGGCTTGTGCAGACCTGGCCGGCAGGCAGCTCATCCTTCCCTTGCTGTGGCCTAGCAAGGAAGCTCAGGCATGGAGCATAGACTGCCCAAGACCTCCGTATCCTATTGGCAGTGCTGGGGACAAGGCCTTTGTCCACCGCTCTTCCACACTCTCCCTCCTAGGACTGATGCCAAACTCCTTCCAGCTTTCTGAACTATCAGCTATTCTCTCTTCCCTATTACCTGCCTACTTGGTACTTTTCCTCCACTCCTAAGGCTGACAACATGTTTTTTCTCTTAATTAAGTAGTGGAAGAGAATATAGCCTTGCCCACATTTAAAAAGCCCCCAGTAGCTCTGTAACTGAGAAGCCCCACATGGCAATGTCGCCAGCCTACCACTGCTGACCACTCAGTCACATGGTAGCTGCAATCACAAGGGAGGAACAATGAATGGGAGGCCCAGGAGGAAGGAAGGGAAGAGCTGTAACATTGACACAGCCTCCTCCCCACCACCAGGCACTTGTAGGCAGCTTTATATCCATCATCTCATTTAACTCTGACAGTAAGCCTAGGAGATAGAGATATTATTATCCCCCTTTTTACTGATTAGGAAATTGCGGCTCAGAGTGAAAGATGAACTTGCCCCATTCACACAGCTTGTGATCAGGAATCAAACCCGGGCCTAACTCCATCAGGTATTATCTTGGGTCTGCCTTAACTCCCTGCATACTACTTTGGCAAGTGTTTCCCCACGTGAACCTTTAGTCTTCCTCTCCATAAAGAGGTGGTTTGGACTAGCTAATCTCTAAAGGCTGGATTTTAAAGGATGTATGTGCAGTTCTGCTTTTCAAAAGTCCCCATCTGTTTCCACATCTTGCACTTTTGTGTCCAACCTACAAGCACAGGTGTGCATGTGAAATCTCTCTTCCCCCCCCTCCCTCCCTCTCCCACCTCCCTCCCTCCCTCTCTCCCCTCCCTCCTTCCCCCTCTTCCCCACTCCATCCCTCTCTACCCCTTTCCCCTGGCTCCTCCCCATTTCATTTTTTCCAATTTCCCTTTCAGTCCTCTTTCCTCCAACATTTCTAGCTGTCTTGCTCCATTTGGGCTCCCATCCTCTTCCCTGACCTCGTGTAACTAGCTAGGTCATCATATAAGCAGCGTCTATGGAAGACCACTTTGTATTAGAACCTGGGCTCAGAAAGAAGAAGAAAGAGTCCCCATTCTCAAGGGGCTTGCCTTTTATGTGGGAATTCGTGGTTGCATGGCTAACAGTGACTACTTGCGTGTGTAAAATCCTTCTCCCTTGGTGCCTTGGGCCTTTACAGGGACTGTATCAGAGTAGGTGCTATTATCCCACTTTGCAGATGAGGAAATTGAGGTGGGTGATGAAAATGTTCACTGCTTTTCCCAAGGTCCGATACTTAGCAAATGATGGCACTAAGCCTGAGTCTTTCTAGTGACTTCCTACCTAAAGATGGTGGTGGGAAGACTCGGGTCAATGTGGAGAACCAGGGACAGAGGACACCAGAGTGGCAGCATGGGGGGAGATGCCAAAATTATGGGGAATGACGTAGAGGGGCTGGAGGGGAGCTAGGTTCGCCATCGGTAGGTAGGCTGGTCTAATCCCAGAAGCAGATGCCCCGTCTGGGGGCAAAACATGCTGGACAGAGAGGTCAGTGATTCTCTTAAGGTCCCAGACAAAGAATGGGACCCTGCTAAGTCCCCAAGAAACAAGCTGAAAATTACAACTAAGGGGTGAGGTTCTAGGAAGGAGCAGGCTTATAGAGATGAGTATAGTTTTCAGTCCAAACATTAATAAAACTATTCTTTAAATGGCAACAAGGACAAGGGGGATCTAGGAAGTACTTGACAACTGTTCCTAATTTTTTTTTTTTTAGAGACAGAGTCTCACTTTGTCACCCTCAGTAGGGTGCTATGGCGTCACAGCTCACAGCAACCTCCAGCTCTTGGGCTTAGGTGATCCTCTTGTCTCAGCCTCCCAAGTAG